CTTTCTTTCTTTCTTTCTTTCTTTCTTTCTTTCTTTCTTTCTTTCTTCCTTTCTTCCTTCCTTCCTTCCTTCCTTCCTTCCTTCCTTCCTTCCTTCCCCTCCCTCCCTCCCTCCAAATTAACTGCAACTCTGAAGATGGTCATGTCAGTTCAGCCTATTTTTTCTCTTACTCTGACCAGCAGGTGGCGGCATACGCCTGGCGAATGGGAACAGCAGCTGCCAAGGTCGAGTGGAAGTCCTTTATGGGGACTTCTGGGGAACAGTTTGTGATGATGACTGGGATTACCCCAACGCACAGGTAGTATGCCGCCAACTGGGCTGCGGCGCAGCCATTGGGGCTACCGTGCTGGGCTACTTCGGCTATGGCAGTGGGCCCATCCTCCTGGACAACGTGGATTGCATCGGCACAGAGACCGAGCTGACCGACTGCTTTAACCTGGGATGGGGACAGCATAATTGTGGGCATCATGAAGATGCTGGCGTCCTCTGCAGAGGTGAGAGATGCAAGGGTCAAGGTTCATCATGATTGGCCCATTCAGGAGTGAAATTGCAGAGTATATACAGGCACACATATATACAGGCTCTTTGCTCAACTGGGTGTGTTTGTGAGTGTGTGTATGAAGTGGATTGCAAACCCCATTTCAGCTTTCTCTCTGGAAAAATAAGGCACATTCTGCCTCTAATTTGCTGTTCAGAAAAAATGCAAAATGCTCAGTTCCCGGCTAGGCAACCTCTTCTAACATATGTGAAATTTTCAGACCGTATTATGAGTGCTCTCTTTTGCTGATGCCCAAAACATTTTCTTGATTGCTATGGCGCTTACAAAACAGTCATTTACCAAGGCAAAACTGCTAAGTTGCTGCAAGCAGCTTCTCCAGTTGAGAGCATTTCCTGTTGCTTCAGTTTTATCTTTGATTAAATTTTTCTGGACTGGCGGGCTATAGAAGAAAGCACTCAGCTTGCAGCCATTCTCTGTTCTTACATTTGGGGAAAGATTAGGGTGCTTGGGCAGAGATCAGAAGCAAATTTGCAAACCAGAGTAGTGCTAGAATTTACGGATTTGGTTGGCCTGCTTCAGTGATGGGATTCAAATTTTTTGACTATAGGTTCTGTGGGAGTGGCTTGGCGGGCATGGCGTGACTTGGTGGGTGTGGCAGGGGAAGGATACTGTAAAATCCCCATCCCGTCCCCACTCCTAGGGGAAGATTACTGCAAAATCCCATTCCCTCCCCAATCTACTAACCTGCTTTCCAGCTCCGTTCTCCTGTGCAGGGCAACAAAACAAGACCCAACTGATCAACTGGGACTCAGGAGGCAGAGAATAGATGGGGGCGGGGCCAGTCAGAGGTGGGATTTGCCGGTTCTCTGAACTACTCAAAATGTCCGCTACTGGTTCTCCAGAACTGGCCAGAACTTGCTGAATACCACCTCTGGCCTGCTTCCAATATTGTTACTTTTGAATTAAAAACTTTTTTTTCCAAAAAAAGATAGCCAGGCAAGGTGGGAGTGTGAGAGGTCCCAGAGGAGATGCATTGGACACCAGTCCTAATTAAGAGTCATCTAATTAAGACATGCCTTTAAAAACAAAGACGTATCTGAAGATTGACTAATTTAACATGCATTTATTCTGTTCCTCTTCACTAGTCTGTGCCTTTTTTCCTGGATTGCAGGTGCAGAGGAATCAGGGGTTTCCTTGCAAGAAGATACTTTTGCTACCACGACTTCAACCACCACTCGTCCCAAAGAGGGTATGTAAACTCCCAGCTGCTCTTAGCACGTGATGTTGTTCTTGCCTAAAAGCAGGGGTGTCAAACTCAAGGCCCACAGGCCGGATGTGGCCTGCGGGATGCTTAGATCGGGCCCATGGGGCTGCCCTACAAACAGCAAAGGACTGGCCTTTGCTGTTTGTAGGACACTGCCACTAGTTTGTCTGCCAGTGAAAACAGAGCTTGGGAGGGCTGTGTGCAGGGGTGGGATTCTATAGGTTCGCACCTATTCGCTAGAACCGGTTGTTAACATTCTAAGCAGTTTGGAGAACCGGTTGTTGGAAGAGATTACTGGCCTAATCCTGTAAGGAAGGCAGGAAGGAAACATTCTGGTGTTGCTTACAGAAACTGCCTCTCCATTAACCCTTATTACATTCTTGGTAGGACTAGACTTCCTGTCTCAGGAACGTCTGGAGTATTTTCCCCCCTCCTTTGCTGGTACTTTGCTTGTGTGGAGTGACCATTCAAAGTTACAATGGCACTGAAAA